GAAGCATCTGGCTCCTGGCTTCGGATCAGCATAGCTCCGACCATAGCGGCCATTTTGGGGAGTGAACCAACAGAAGGAAGACCTTTCTCTCTGTCTCTTTCTCTCTCTCACTATCTAACTCTATCTGTCAAATAAAAAAGAAAAAAGGAAAAAAAAGAAGTGGAGCAGCCGGGTCTCGAACCTGTGGCCAATTGGGATGCCTGCTCTTCAGGCCAAGGCGTTAACCCGCTGCTTCACAGCACCGGCCCCTAAATGATTTTTTTTTTTTAAAAACAACCTCAATGTGCTTTTTAAATTTAATTTTTAAAACCATTTAGTATTTTATTTATTTGAAAGGCAGAATTATAGACAGAGAGAGGTTGAGACAGAAGGAAAGAGAGAAGTCTTCTATCTGCTGGTTTACTCCCCAAATGGCTGCAATGGCTGGAGCTGAGCCAATCTGAAGCCAGGAGCCAAGAGTTTCTTCAGAGTTTCCCACCTCCACTGCTTTTTCAGGCAGATTAGCAGGGAGCTGGATCAGAAGTGGATCAGTTGGGACTCTAACAGGCACCAATATGGTATGCTGGGCTTTAACCCTCTGAATCACAGTACCAGCACCAAAATGAATGTTTTATAAAAAAAAGTAAACAATAATAGCAATAGTTTCTTTTGTGAAAAAAAATTAAAAATCATTGGCCCGAGGTGCATAAATGACCTTAAGATTATATAATACTATTACTTTCGCTTACTAAGTGAGGAAAAACATAGAGTTTCATGCTTTTTAAGGATTATCATGCAACAGTAGGGTAAGACCAAAGGAACAAACCTTAAGAGGTCACATGTCTTCCTGGAAAGTCTAAGGCACTTGCGTGTGATAAAAAGGAATGTGTAGGTGGCTACTGGTCAGATTGTCTTAAGAAGAATGTGTGTTCTGTGCATCATACAAATTTACATAAAATATTTCCAAAAACTGGTGGAAATCATTGCAAATTTCTTATTTGATAACTTGAAAGGTACATCAGTCAGGGTTCTCCAAAGAAATAGAATACACACATACACATACACACACACAGGTACATGTGCATAAGCAAAAGAGAAAAGTTTAAGGGGCTAGCTCACATAGTTGAAGGGGCTAGGAAATCTGAGACCCACAAAAGCAGACTGAAAAACCAGAAATTCATGTATGAGCTGATGTGCAGTCTTGAGTTTGAAGCCTAGTAGTTCAGGCAATATTTCCATGTTAAAGAGAGAACTCCTTATGCCTTGGGAAATTTGGGTCTCTTGTCTCAAGGTCTGTAACTGACTAGAGGAGATCCACTCACATTATAGTGGATAATTTGCTTTCCTTAAAGTCAACTGCTCATAAATGTTAATCACATCTGAAAAATACCTTCACAGCAGCATCTAGACTAGTGTTTTTCCAAAGATTTGGACACTATGGTCCAGCCAAACTGACACATTAAATTAACATCATGGGAGGTTTAGAGGGGAGGAACATTTTATTATTTAATCTGGTTAAAATTGCCTCCAGATTTTTTTCTTTTTTGGTCATTGTTCTCAGATGATTTTACAAGAAATTTGAATATGTCAGATATATGTTCCTACATAATGCATTTTGCTACAAGATTCAGCCATAGCAAATTTCACCACTGAATATACCTGAGGACATGAAATCTATTCTTTTCTGCAAGTCAGCATCTGTTAGCTCATGCTTTGCTTAGTCACTTAACACAGCGGCCCACATTAAAAATAGGGTAAAGAACAGAGTAGACAAGCGGTAATTAAAATCACACAGATCTGAGTTACATCCCCCAAAATGAAAGAACATTTTGTTCTAGCATATTGAGAAACAGAAAAATGCATTAAATAGGAAGATATGCCAGGATATTTTAAGTAGAATAGCAGATTATAAACCTCCCTACTAACTCTTGTGTGCTACACATCACTTCTGTTGCTTAGTAGAGCCTACTCTTAGTTATATCTGGAGCAATGTTTTGTTGTGGGATGATGAGATGATCTCAGTGCTTGTCTCACGCTAAAGAATAATTTCCAGTTGGACAGGGACTCTGAGAAAAGTGAGATTTATTTAAAGCAAAAAACCTCCTGTCACAGCATTCAGGAGTGATATTCCAAGGGAGAAGTCACCAGGAAAGCCTGTGAGTACTGGCTTTTTTATACACAAAATGGCTCCCTCTGATTGGCTCCATTTTGAAAACCAGATCCAGATTTAGCCAATCAGGGGAAGAGTAGAATAGCAACCAACCAGAAGGGATAACAACCAATCAGGAGGCCAATATAACAACCAATCAGGGAACTGAAAGTGTATGCTAATAGCACACACTATATGAAACAATCAGAGAATAGATAGTATAAGCTAATAAGGCATAGTATGCGGATCAATCAGAGAACTGAAATTGGAGTAACCCAGAATTGTGCAGCATTCTCAGTCAGGTCTGTTCCAGCAGATCTGAAGACTACATTGTGTATGTTTTCCCAATCTCTTGTCGCCCCCTCCCTCAGGGCTCTTGGAGACCTACGGCATACATTTGTTTCTATCCAGGGGTCCCTTTCCCACTCTAACAAGGACCCGCTCTAATTACTTACTAGCCATTCCAGCTCCTCACATTATCAGCAACTTCTGAAAACATTTACTTCTCACATGATAAAATTCCATCAAAATGAATGACACAATTCTAACTGTAAAAAGCATTCATTTTATTTATTTATTTATTTATTTATTTATTTATTTATTTATTATTTTTGACAGGCAGAGTGGACAGTGAGAGAGAAACAGAGAGAAAGGTCTTCCTTTTGCCATTGGTTTGCCCTCCAATGGCCACCACGGCCGGCGCACCGCGGCCAGCGCACTGCGCTGATCCGAAGGCAGGAGCCAGGTGCTTCTCCTGGTCTCCCATGGGGTGCAGGGCCCAAGCACTTGGGCCATCCTCCACTGCACTCCCAGGCCACAGCAGAGAGCTGGCCTGGAAGAGGGGCAACTGGGACAAAATCCAGCGCCCCGACCGGGACTAGAACCCGGTGTGCCGGCGCCGCAAGGTGGAGGATTAGTGCCGGCTTATTTATTTATTTTAATGAACAAAGATGTAATCTTTTTCTCTGAATTCTTTGGTATGATAAATTCCCTTGTGAATCACACTTGGTACCTCATTTTATAACACCTTAAAAGTTTCATGAATACCTTTTCTCATTGAGATTTCGGTGTCCAGTAGGAGCATTCAAATAAAGTAAATTTAAAAAAATAATTTCAAAATCGTTGGAAGCTCTGGTACACTTAATTTCAGATATTCAGCTTTCCTGAAGATGGGCTGCAATCCATGTGAGGGTGGTTTTACTTGAACTCAAATTCATAATGTAGTTTTAGGGTCCCACTCTCAAACCTGAGCCTGGACTCCACCTCTGGTCCCCTTATCCCTGGGAGGCTTTTGGGTCCTCCAGAGCTAGTGTCTCCAGGGAGGAAACTGCCCTTTGAACAAGGCTCACTTTTCTGAGCATTTTTCTTCTTCATTATCTTGATAGCTATTATCTGATGTTTTCAATGTCATCAAAGTAATGGCTTTAATATCTTTCCCATTTTTAACCTTGTTTTTAGTAGTAATATTGGTTCAAGACATGCAGTCCGGTCTTACCAGACGTAGAGTCCATCCTCATTTCTCGATACTTTCTATCCTTTCTTGAACAAAGCTGGGTATTTTATATTCTCAGGTATACAATGTAATGTGGATAATGTTGATTAAAACATTTTCTGTCTCATTTTGCTGACCAATAATTATGCTTTTTTTTTTTTTTTTGCTTTTGAGCTTTTAGTTAGGGCTTTATTCCAATTAAAATGTCTTTCCTAACTGAAGGTTACCTACTCTTATCTTACCTCTATTTGAAGGTCCAATTCAAAGTCAGTTCTGTCCACGACTCCTTCTTCTGCCTCTCTTGTCCACTTGATCATTGGCTCTTCAGAAATTTTACTTATTTTCTGTATGATATGTGTTGTTTTTGTATCCATTATGGGTTAACAAGGATAGAGGGCAAGATGAATTTTTTGCCATCCTGCAACTGAGGCAGGGCTAAGCTCTTAGTATCTTAGTCAGCATTTGTTCTGGACGATAGAGAGATCATTTTTTTACTATTTCACAGAATGCTGGAGACTTTCCATCACTTTGTGGTTCCCATATAAACTTCTGATTATTATCAGAACTTTTCCACATCAATTTTAATAGTTACGATTTTATTACTCTAAAAAATAAAACTTTAAACCCATGAATTCAGATTCATAGTTATAACACAGATCTCATGAATAACAGGCATGTTAAAGTGAAGATCAAGAGATTTTGTGAAATTCATGAAGATGGTAGATAAATGTGGCAGGCTGATTGAAAAATCATTCCCATTTGTCCACTGTGAAGCTCCTCCCAAAAGAAGTAGTGTCCTGTCCCCCACCCTTTGAATCCAGGTTGGTCTTAGAACTCATTTTGGTCAATCAAATGTGGCAGCAGGTTCTAGGCATAGACTTTTAAAGATTAGCATATTTTTGTATGATCCCTTGCAACTTTGCCAAGCAATAAGAAAAATAGAAGCTAGTTGGCTAGATGGTGACAGAACATGTGCAATAACGCTGGGCTGTCCCAGTTGTGAATATTCTAGGTCCGTCATCTCCCAGGGAACTCCAACAAGCTGCAAATGTATAAGCAAGCCAAGTCAAGAGCAGCTAACGCTGGCACTAATCACCAAAACCATCCGGCTGACCCACAGACTCAAGAGTAAAAAATAAGACTTTTTCATTGAGTATCATGGAGGTTTTGTTAAGCAATGTGATTATGGCAATAGACAATGGATACATAGAAACAACCAAAATTTGAGAAACACTGATTTATGTACTTTATTAGTTATTATATTTGCTCTTTTGATAAATGGTCTGTAATAGGACATGCTTCATCATCAATCCCAGATCAAGTTGTGACAGAATAAGTGATTGAAGCAGTATTTTGTCCATGGTAATTCAAATAAGTAAATTTCTTTTTTTTTTTTTTTTTTTTGTGATAGGAACCAGGCTTTATTATCAATGATTACAGAGCACAGGAGAGTGAGGCTCATGAGTGGAGGGCCCGCCACTTGTCCAGGGGGCCACGATTGGGGATGTACTTGACCCCGCAGCCGTCCGGGATGAGCCGCTTCTCCGCCACCATGTCTTCAAATTCATCCGCGTTAAACTTGGTAAAGCCCCACTTCTTTGAGATGTGGATCTTCTGGCGGCCAGGGAACTTGAACTTGGCCCTGCGTAGGGCCTCAACCACATGTTCCTTGTTCTGCAGCTTGGTGCGGATGGACATGATGACTTGGCCAATGTGAACTCTGGCTACTGTGCCTTGGGGCTTTCCAAAAGCACCCCACATACCTGTCTGCAGCCTGTCAGCACCAGCACAGGACAACATCTTGTTGATTCGGATGACATGGAAGGGGTGGAGCCGCACTCGGATATGAAAGCCATCTTTGCCACAGCTTTTTACCATGTATTTTTTGGCACAAATACGGGCAGCCTCCAGGGCTTCAGAAGAGAGCTGCTCATATTCATCCGACACCATGTGGCCACACAGTGGAAACTCATCCACTTTTGCCTTCTTCCGGCCCAGATCAAAGATATGGATCTTGGCATCAGGGACACCTCGGCAGAAACGAGACTTAGGGTACGGCTTGTTCTTACAATACCGGTAACACCGGGCGGGGCGGCGGCCCATGGCAACACCAGGGTCTTCGGTGGCGTGCCGAAGGAAAAAGAGAAATAAGTAAATTTCAGTCTATGTCTTTCATTATCTTCCCTGTAGAATTCCTTTCCAAGTACTCGTTCTTACTCTTGCTCTAGGATTCTAAAGCTATGGCTAGGTAGAGATAGTGAAGTGCGAAAGACATTTCCTAAAGCAAATATAGTAGTCATATTGTAGTCATAGATATTCATTAACCTCTAATTATTTAAAAGTTCAAAGCCATGGGGTTCAGATACCTTCTGTTGTTAAATGAGATCTGAACTGTTAATTGTGCCTTTGGCTAGGGCAATTCCCTTGTACAAAAGTCCCGGATTTGTTTTTGAAAATGCTGTGCAGAAAGGTAGGAAGATTTGTTTTGGATCCATATGGATGTGGATTTGTGTTTCAGCTGCGCTCATGCCTCTAGACTTTGGCTGGATTGCTTTATTTGTGAGCCTCTTTCCTCCTCTATAAAATGAAGATAATGTCACTTTTAAGACAATAAAGATCCTTCACATAAAGTATGAGATACAATCATTTAAAAATGGTAGCTCCTTCTACCCAGGCAGCTTGTTGCTTCTTAGACACTGAATATCTGCAGCTTTTCATATGCTCCACTGACTGAGGCAATTCTCCAACCAGCACAAAACATCGTGACATTAAAGTCATCTGAACTCTCTTCGCCCAAAGTTATTTCTATGAGATTTGGGGCATGGACCTGACTGTGATGGAAGCAATGTCCATTTAACATTTGGTGAGTAACATTCGGTTCCTGTGTAGTAGTCATTTTATTGAGGTTGGTTTGTGAATTAATAGCTTTTTCTCATCATTTCCTTAGGAATAGAAACTAGGTTAAACATAGCAAGATTTTCTTTTTTCTTTTTCTTTTTTCGACAAGCAGAGTTAGACAGTGAGAGGGACAGAGAAAAAGGTCTTCCTTCCATTGATTCACCCCCCAAATGGCCACTACGGCCGGCGCTGCGCCAATCCGAAGCCAGGAGCCAGGTGCTTCTCCTGGTCTCCCATGAGGGTGCAGGGCCCAAACACTTGGGCCATCCTCCACTGCACTCCCAGTCCACAGAAGAGAGCTGGACTGGAAGAGGAGCAACCGGGACAGAACCAGTGCCCCAACCGGGGCTAGAACCCGGGGTGCTGGCATCGCAAGTGGAGGATTAGCCAAGTGAGCCGCGGCGCCAGCCTCATAGCAAGATTTTCAAGATGGCGGTTTCCTCTTAGCTTTCAAAAGGATTTCTACTGTTTTGTCTTCTTCCTTATAACTCAAGCAACTGTGAAGCAAGTCCCTTGATAGAGTACATATCAAGATCAAAGACCAGGGGCCGGCTCTGTGGCAAAGTAGGTTAATTCTCTGCCTGTGGTGCCGGCATCCCATATAGGTGCTGGTTCTAGTCGTGGCTGCTCCTCTTCCCATGCAGCTCTCTGCTATGGCCTGGGAAAGCAGTAGAAGATGGCCCAAGTCCTTGGGCCCCTGCACCCATGTGGGAGACTCAGAAAAAACTCTTGGCTTCTGGCTTTGGATCAGCTCAGCTCTGTTGTGGCCATTTTGGGGAGTGAACCAGCAGATGGAAGACCTCTCTCTGTCACTCCCTCTCATTGTCTGTAACTCCACCTCTCAAGGAAATGAATTTTAAAAAAAAAAGAACAAAGACTTCCAATCAGAGACAGGGAGCCACATGAGGTAGTTCTCACTCTTAGAAGTGGAGGCATTGTAACTTACAGCATGTGTTAAGGTTTTATCACTAAACAATTCATTATATAAAGTTTTATCACATGCATATTGGGTTTTGAGACTTCGCACTTGAATATCAATTTAGTTTTAGGGGATGGCAAGGTGGCGTAGCAGGTAAAACTGCCGCTTGCAGTGCTGGCATCCCATATGGGTGCCAGTTTGAGTCCCAGCTGCTCCACTTCCAATCCAGTTCTCTGCTATGGCCTGGGAAAGCAGTAGAAGATGGCCCAAGTCCTTGGGCCCCTGAACCCATATGGGATACCCAGAAGAAGCTCCTGGCTCCTGCCTTCGGACCGGCACAGCTCCAGCCGCTGTGGCCAACTGGCGAGTGGACCAGTGGATGGAAGACCTCTCTCTCTCTCTCTCTCTCTCCCCTCTCTCTTCTCTGCCTCTCCTCTCTCTGTGTAACTCTGACTTTCAAGTAAATAAATAATTCTGTAAAAAATTAGTTTTAGTATAAACGGAAGCCCTAAGACCAGAAGGGATCTTAGAAAGACAATTAGCACTTTCTTGTCCTATTTGCATTATTTAGGATAACATAATTTAGCGGTTTTTGCATTATCTAGGCTTAAGTTCTTGTATTAGTTGAGATTCCCTAGAGAAATTGAAGAATATATCAACATCTATTTGGGTAAACCCATATATACCTATACATCTATATCTAGTTCTATGTCTATGTCTAGCTATACAGTTTAATTTTAAGAATAAGCTCACAGCATTATGGGAGCTGGACAGTCTCTGTTAGAATCTGAAAGGAAGCAAGTGCTGGAGACAGGATGGAAGGCTATCAGGCAGGGGGAGCCAGTGTTCTAGATAGAAGGCTGCCTGGCAGGAGAATTCTCTTTTACTTGGGGGAGAGCAGCCTTTTTTTTTGTCCAGGCCTTCAACTGATTGGATGAGGCTCACCACATCCTGGTGGACAATCTGCTTCCCTCCTTTTACTGACTTTAGTGTTAACATCATCCATCTAAAAACACCCTCATAGAAACCCACAAAATCATATTTGACTAAATAAAGGAGTACTCTGTGGCCTAGTCAAGTTGACATACAGTTAGCCATTACATTCCTCATTATTTAGATGGCTTATAGAGGTATAGAGATTTTCTCAGGATACAAGCCTAGCATTAAAACAATTGATGTGCTGATAAATATTTTAAAGCTACATCTCCAAAATAAAACAAATATTAGGTTAAAAAAAAAAAAAGCCCTGATTTGTAGCACTTTCCAATTTCCATACTGGCAATGAGAGTAGTGACATGAAGGTAGGAGGGGAGAGGGTGGAAAGAACTAAAACCCAGAGAAATTTTGCAAGAATGATTGTGTCAAGAACTGAGCGATCCAATCCAAGCAACTTTTTGTACCTGGGGAATGAACAAAGAGAATAGTTGTCTCCAAAGTCATTTATCCCACCTGTATTAAGTGATTAACTCCATCACATTAATGTTTCAGGTGCCTGAGGATAAGATGCCTTATTGGACTTCAAATCAGAGATAAAGATCCACTTGGGTGGCTCTCACTATTAGAAGAAGTGGGTTCAGTTTGACTTATGAAATATGTTGAGGTTTTAACACTAAATAATTCTTTATGAGAAACAAATTCAGTCCCTGAAGGTATGATTTAACCTATCATCAACCTGAGATTCAGATAGAACCCATGTTTGTTCAAGAGCCCTGTCAAGGAGGACTTAGCCATTCCTCCAGAGTAGCTTCCCAACATTACTATTCAGGAAATAAGCATGATATAAATTTGCTTTTAATTATGAATTTTGAGACTTCATAACTGAGAGCAATTATTCCAATTCAAAATTTTCCATGTTAGTCATGGAAGTGAGAACGTTACAGGTTTGAAGAACCAGTTCTCTTGATGTTAGAGCTGTAAATGATTAAATAGCCCACACATGAAAAATTCATACATATTAAAAATTTATATTGTAAAATTCAATATATAAAATCAACATCAAATAATGAATAACAACATTTTCTTGAGTTAATCTTATTCCTAAAACTTTTCCTACATACAAATATTATAATATGGAAGTAATTCTGCAAAAGTTTTTCAAGTTGAAAGGGCTAGAAATTTAATTTTTAAAACAAACACCATCTAACTGCGAATATCATCCATTGTTCTGTGTGTTTTTATTCCAAGAAATACGTGAGATACAGACATCTTGTCTCTAAAAGCCAAGTATCATCTTTTCACAAACAAATGCTCCGAATGTCAGTGATTAGTAGATCCCTGGCTTTCCACATGTGGTCTGCCAACCAATAGCACCCCAAGTTCTTGTTAGACATACAAATTCTTTCTGCACCTGAGATCTACTCTGGACGTGAGAACCAGCCGTGTTTTAACAAGCTCTCTCAGTGATTCTGATGAAGGTTGAAGGTCAAGAATTACTTCACCAGATGGTACTAATTTTCCTTCATAAGACCAACACCATATAGTAACCTGTTTCACATGCTTTCTGCTAAGGCAAAATTGAGTAGAGGAAGAAAGAAAGTGTATGAGGGAGAGGGTTCTATCTTACTGGGGAGTCCAATTAAAAGTGTTCAGCTGATCTCTCCCCTATTGATCTTTCCCTCTCCCAACTAAACAAGTCATTCTAGTTCTTAGCATTCCAGACTTGAAGGATAACAAATTCCTGTAAAGTAGTTTCTCTTGAAGTTCTTTTTAGATTCGTACTGGAATGGTGGCCCAAATACTATGCACAGGTTTGACAATGCAGCAAACCACAGCAACTAGCAGTTGTGATTTATTACAGCAACATGATGCACAGGACAATCAGCAAAGAAAAGGACACCTGGGGGAGAGTGTGGAGGCCACCAGGTGTGAGCTTCCCTAGGCGCTCTCCTGGTGGAGTCACACAGGATGTGTTTAAGTCTTGTAGCAATGAGTTGGGACAACACCTGTGGAATCCTGCCAGCCAGCGCAATGTAGGCACCTTCTGCTAGCATGCATCAAGACTAGAGACCCACAGAAGGAAAGCAGGTGTTTACTGAAAGCTACATTGTTTGTATAAGTTTAGGTGCAATGAATCACTCTTATCAGCTCTGGCAATGGAACCCTTTGAATTCAAGTTTCCTGATGCCAGCTGAGGGCCAATTATGTAAATAAACCTTTAGAAGGATGGTTGTCAGGCCTGCTATGTTGACTTTTTTTTTGCACATTTCCTTTTTATTTCCTTTATCTGGAAAATGATCATAAGGGTATATTTCATATGGCTATTATGAAAATTAAATGAGATAACCTGTATAAAAGATGCACATATGTAATTATAAATAACTATTA